AGTTAAGTATACCCAGCAGGCAATCTGCTTTAAAAAAAATAAATAAAAAAAATATATATAATCATAATTATATGTATTCATGCGGTCTTACCCCGCCTTTTTTGGACTCTTTGGCGTCCACGACTGCTTTCTTGGCCAGAGCCGCTTCCTTGCGTAGCTGCGCGGCTGACTTAGGCGGTGTCTTTGCCGGATCGACCATTTTCAAGGCGTCGGCTGCATGAATAGAATTCAAGGTTAGAAGAAATTGTGGCGAGTTTGCAGTAAATATAAAAATAACAAACACTCCGAATGTAAGTGGATCTACCCTTGGGAAACATGGGACTTAACCCACAGGCGGACAAGAAGCATTCATCCTTGAAATAGTCCGGATGGGGGATCTAGTTTTTGGGAACTATAATGTGAGTCCTATCCCCAATGAGCTCAGTTGTGGTCTCAAAGATGGCCGACTCTATTATGTGCTCCCGGGACTTAGTAGATAGCTCCGGGAGAGGGCATTTCCTTCCCAGAAGAGTCGGCGTTGTGTTGTACCGGCGAAGAGTCCAGTTGTGTCTTAGAGTTGGGGAAGAAATCAAATAAAACTTGTCCTTCCACCCAGACCATTTGGACACCTTGTCCAAACTCATCAGATACTGGGGCAAGGTAGAAAGAGTGTACCATTCCCCATGACCGCCTGGAGCCTTGCTCAAATAATGCATGTGAGCGAAGGCGGATAAGCTGGGATTTATGTTTTGGAGCTCGCAGGCAGCGATGTAACTCAGAATATTCACCAACGAATTGGGGGTGAGCTTCCAGACTCCTAAATCATACCCCTTTAGGAATTTCCTAATCCAGGTATGAAGGGGGAAGCGGAGGCCGACTTCTATTACCGCCTCGTAGAAGAAAAAATAATGGTCTGCATTATCAATATCATCGTTGGCAGGCGGAACGATGATATCCCACCCCTTCCCAAAGGGGTGCTTCTCTTTAAAGGCCCTAAAGGCGCTTCTCAGTAGGGCGATGTCACCCGGCAGCATTCTAGTCCTTTTTGGGTTAGGGTGGTCAGCGACTTTAGGCGGCTGCTGATAGTCAGCTGCAAAGTTATCCGGGTCAGAGCTAGAAGATTCGGCCTTTGACCCTTCACCGGCCTCGTCGTCACCGGTTCCATTAGAGGAGGCGGCTTCCTCACCGCCTTCCTCTCGTACTCCTGAGCTCCCGGAAGTAGAGGGAGCCTCTTCATCAGAACCACTCTCCTCCAAATCCTTCTGTTCCCCGTCTAGAACAACCTCATCGGCTAGCACTAACATAGTGCTCCGGCTCCAAGATTTTCTAGGCGTATATTTAACTCTGGCCATTGTGTCCTGCACAGACACAGAGAGGGAGGAATTCGGAGATGAGAACATCGGTTCTGACAGTCCAGAAAATGCACCCCCTGTTCTAGACTCAGCCGTTCCGAGGACCGGCTGAGTGTCCTAGGCAGTGCCGAGTGTGTGGATTGAGAACTCATTTTAATTTTCTAAAACTATGTATACAGGCGGATGAAAAATGTATACAAGTTAGAAAAGAGAAAAGCTAAAATGGTACAGGCAGTTTACCCTACTTTAACTCTGAATAATCAGAAAATCGCTACAGCGGGTAAACCGGGTGTTGAACTGCTAGCACACGGAAACTTGAAAATACTTTGACACAGACGGAGGCAGAGAATCTCTCTCTAAAAACTCTCTCTTTCTCTCTCTAAAAAGTCAAATGAAAATAAAGTGAGGGAAAAAGGGGGAGGAAAACATCAATTTAGAGAAGGTGAAAACAGGGGAAATTCCTGTTTGAAATTTAAAATTTTACTATCCGTTACTGTTCACCTCTGATAGGTGGACACGTGTCACAGGCCCCACGTGACACGCACCTGAGCCCTGTGAGGGGAAAATGTTTAAGGTAAAAATACCCTAGACACGTGGACCAATGAGAGGAGGCCACGTGTCGAGTTCAGGATGGCCCACGTGGCCTAATATCCCCTCGACACATGGCCCCCTTGGATAAATCTCTGACATGGCGGCCTTCAAGGGCCCAAATTCCAAGAAGTGCCGTAAAACGGCGTAGCCCACTAAAATCTAGGTCAAGTGACCTAGATAGGGGCACATTCTCCAATGAACCTATAAATAGGGAGATATTTCCCCACTTGGGGGACACATTCAATCATTTATTACACTACATTCTCTCTCATCAGAGAAACACCTGAGCTTGGAATCCAAGCAGATTCCCACCTAAATTTCCGTACTCTTTATTCCTTTTCAAATTACTAACTTGATCTTCGGAGGCGGAGCTCCAACCACCCGGAGTCTCCGTTGTTTTGCAGGTACAACTCAGTTGGACCAGTCTTTGTGACATAACTCTCTCGAGGGACAAAAAACACCCAAAAAAAAAAAATCATCAACAATTTTCATTTTCCACCATCAAAAATCCAAAAAAATTTGATTTTCCACCATTGTTGCTCCTTCAAGCATCTTGGAGTTCAAAGTTTTTGGGGGCTAGCTGGAGGTGATTACTTGCTTCATTGTTGGTATAATCCCTTCCTTTCTAGTTTTTATTGAACTATTTTTCAAATTTGAATGAATTTAATGACAACTTTTTTGTGATTTTTGTTGGAAAATTGTTCATGTGTGATTTGGTGAATTTTGTTGTTACTTTTGTTCTAATTTTTGGTTGAGTTGTTTTGTGAGTTGTTTGTTGGAATTATTGCTGTGTTCTTGGTTAATTGGTGTTGCCTTGTGAAGCTTGTGGTGGTTGCTTGGTTATTCTTGTGGTGGTTGCTTGGTTATTCTTGTGGTGGTAGCTTGGTTGTTCTTGTGGTGGTTGATTGGTGCTACTTGAAGCTACTAATTGATTTGGAGTAAGGTGTTGGTGTTGTTTTCTTGAAAAAATAAAAAGGGAAGAGAAAAAAATGGAGGTTGGAACTAGCTCAAAGAAGAGGAAGAGTGGAAAGGAGCCACGAGGTTCATCTTCAAAAACACCTCAAAATGTGGAACCCCCACGCCTCCAACAAAATTCTCTAATCGAAACCACAAAGCCAACTTTGATGCCCTCCAATCACGAAAAATCCTCCCCACCAAACAATACAATCAAACCATAACCACCAAGCTTGGCATTGACGAACAATGTTGGTTCTTTTTCAACAACCTTGGGTTAACCGAATTCGTCTCAAAGCCATACAACACTTACCGTGAACCCACCCAAAAGTTTCTCGCCTCTTTTGAGAAACATACCTCGGGGAACAACTACATCTCCGTTTCCTTCCAACTCTTTAACAAGAAGGAAACAATGTCCCTCCACATATTCAATGAATACCTTAACCTCAACCCCAATGCCGACATCCTCTTACCCGAATATGCCCAACTCCCGGACTACAACCCCCGCTGATGGTGGAAGCATATCTCTCAAAATAACAAATTTGATGCAAAGTATTCTTTGGCTAGTGAAATCATGCACCCCGCCTTGAGATTGCTACACCGTATACTTGGGTACATGGTCTTCAACAAGAAAGACTTGGGGAAGATAAATTTGGAGGAAATTAGGATCCTTTATCTTGCATCAAGGCCGGATTTGGCCGGGCACAGAGTTAACTTGGTGTTCATCTTCACTCAATGTATCGAAGCCATTGTCTCGGGTAGCAAGAGTGGGAAGATCCATTGCAGAGCTATGGTGACTAGGTTGGCCATAAAGTGTGGCCACGAGGAGAAGTTGAGGTCATGCACCATAGTAGGGAAAGGGGATGGTAGTGATATTTTGCTTGATGAGAAACAACTCAAGACAATGCAATTCGTCCGAGGTATGAATGCGGTTGAGGGAATTTGGAGTGTCCTTGTATCTCGCAAACACCATTGCTTCCTCTCGAGGCGGGAGTACACCTCCCATACCAGAGAAGGAGTTCAACACCCTTAGTAAGCGAGGGAGGACTCGAGTGTCCTCCCCAACAATGTGCAAGTGAATTTGGAGGAGGTGTTCGAGGAAAATGGTGTGATAGGAATGGAAGGAGAAGAGGAGGATGATGTGTTAGGAATGGAAGGAGAAGAGGAGGATGAGGTAGCGGAGCAACAACAACAACAACAACAACAACAACAACAACAACAAGGGAGAAGAAGAAGGCCACAACAACAACATCAACATCAACAACAACCCGACTTCCAACAAGACATGGCGAGCATGAGGGCTCAAATGGAGAGCATGCAACTTTGCATGCAAGGTATGTACGCTTCTTACCAAAACAATGTTTTCAAACAAACGCCTTATATGACTTGAGTGTGCGTAAGGGGGAGGTCACCCCTCCCTTCAACTATCCATACACACCGGCCCAACAAGGGCCCATGGCTTCATGGAATGATGACAACCTCCGCACGTACCCCTACTGGCAGGGTGTTGAGAACCCTGAAGTGCCTAGGCGTAACTTCTCCGACGAGTCCGGTCATTATGATTACAGAGTCTCGGGTGGGATTGATTTTAGAGGTGACCCTGGCTACCACTATGTTCACCCCGATCACCCCGCACCTTGTGTGCAACCCGAGCCCTATGACCAGTTGGCCCCATCCCAGCTTGACCTTTTCATAGGTCACGACGGGTTTCCCCTCGGTTATACCGGAGGATGGGACCCTTATGGGCCACCACCCACCCCCCTAGGGATGATGGTGCCGGCCCTAGTGGCCACTAGTTCCCCCTTGGTATGCATGTTTCCCCACCTTTTTGGTCCCTCCCTTGTCTTTTCAATTGCATGTGAAGCATCGAGGACGATACTCTTATTTAGTATGGGGGGTGTTTGAATCAAAAGGGAGTAGTTTCGAGTCGATCACTACAAGAAAAAGGTGAATTAGCAACTGATTTTTGCGACTACCATAATAATTAGTTGCAAAAATAATTTTAGCGACTGAAAAAGACGAGTAGTCGCAAATTTTGCAACCGAATTTGCAGTAGTTGCTATGCGGTCATTAATTAGCAACTGATTTTTGCAACTACAATAATAATTAGTTGCAAAAAAAATATTTTGCGACAGAAAAAAACGAGTAGTTGCAAAATTTGCAACCGAATTTATAATAATTGCTATGCGGTTGCTAATCTGCGACGCTCTTATAATAATTTGCAACTAACACGGTAGTTGCTACTATTATTTTTAATATTTATTAAAAAGAAATAATAAAAAAAACCCTTAGTATAATAAAAAAAAAAACCCTTAGTATAATAAAAAACAAGTTATTGCCGCCAAAAAAACAAGAATTATCATCAGTATTCACCGTCAAAAACAAGAGTATCATACTCTTCCTCAAAAAAAAAAAAAGTTCAGAACCTCAAAGCAAGCAGCCATCACCGTCGTCTTCCTCTGCTGCTGTTGCGCCACCACCACTTCCCCCAGGTTAGTACGCGTTCTTCTTCTTCCTACCTTCCATTCAATCTTTCTCTTACTGCATTATGTCAATTGCGGATTTTAGGTTTATCTTTGAGTATTTGTCTAATTTTTTATTTTAATTTTTTTCTATTGCGAATTGATATTAATCTGATTATTAATTGAACTGCAAATTGGTTTTAATCTAATAATTTCACAGATTCGAGAATTATTCTTGAAAGTTTGGTCGAATTAAGTAACTAGAATTAGAAATTAGTATTTCTCAATTATGTTTATGGGTTATTAGGGGTTATTCTTGAAAATAATACGTAATAAGTTAGTAGAATTAGGAATTGTGAATTTTAGGGTTTATTGAGTTTTTTTGTTCAATTTTTTATTTTAATTTGGTTTCTATTGCAAATTGCGAATCCAGAAATATTGTTTTTTGTTTTTTTTTTCTTACATACTGTCTTCACATTAGAGTTACAATTAAGCTTAGAGATTCATCAGTGTTCTCACCTCTTTCTCAAAACTTCAAGGAAACAACCCTTACTAGCATACTGTTTTTTTTATGTGGGGTCATGAATCAAAATCTATCACATTGTTATCATCATTCCTAGTTGTTATCAGCATTCCTAGGGAGGAGAATTTCCGAAACATTGCTAATCTCATGCTGTGGTTCATGATGAAATTTTTGATTTGTAGTGCATCCCCATGAACATCAGTGATCCAACTACACTCTTCATATGTTTCCTCATTGCCAGACATATTCTTTGCTGCACAAATGTTTTTCAAAGCAAGATTGAGCGTATGGACGACACATGGTGCCCAATAGATATGAGGAAACTCACTCTCAATGAGCTCTCCAGCCCCCTTACAATTTGCTGCATTGTCAGTAATTATTTGCACAACATTTTCATGACCCACCTCTAATATCACTTCTTTCATCAAAGAGGCAATAAAAAACTTATCTTTCACTTGTCCAAAGCAATTCACAGCTTTCAGAAACATAGGGCCATTTCCAGAGGTAGCCATGAAATTAATGAGTGGCTTCCTAGTCGGATCACTCCACCCATCAATCACAATTGTCACCCCTTTTTCGTTCCAAGTTGACCTTAGTGGCTAAATGGCAACCCTCCGGTGTAAAACATCCTTGCAATTTCTTGTTCCAATTGTTCCCTAGCATCAATACCAAATGCTCTAGTAATAGGTGATTTAATGGACTTTCTTTTCTTAGAGGCAGTGGCATCATCCAATTGAGATTCACAAGGCAATGGAACTTCTCTAGCTGTTGAATCATTTTTTTTTCAAACCCCTCTTCTAGTCTTAGCATTTCAAGTTTATCAGTGTGAGTTACTCTCTTACAAAGTGCAGTACCCTTATTTTTAATATGAAGTAAGTGAGCTCTAACACGAGAATAACTTCCTGATCTTGTTTTGTTACAAAAATTACACTGATAACTCCAAGTTCCTCCTACAGTCCCCTTTTTTTTCTAATTTTGTCACAAATTTCCACAATGGAGCTGAATTATCAACCGATTTCTCAGAATTATCACTTTGAGTTTCTCTAAATGTTGTGTTAACTTACCCGCTACCTGTGCTACTACCAACATTTTGAGAGGCCATTGATGTATGAACTACTGCATAATTTATTAAAAAAAAACACATAAATAGGCTGAAAGAACAGACCGAAACAAAAAATAAAAAAAAAGTAGAAAGAACAGATCGAAAGAAAAACAGAAGCAAAAGATGAAAAGACAAAAAAATAAAAGGAATTAGAGAACTTAACGATCACCGCGGCGCCGCCGAGCAGATGGAGTGGTGGGTGGTCGCTGGTCGGCTACTTCAGTCTTCAAGGTTTCAAAGAGAAACTATGCTCAAATTAACTAAGAATTGAGAGGAAAGCTTAATTGATCACTAATTTCTTTTTGGTGCATTGACTTAATGAACTTCGTAATTCTATCAGTCCTAGAAGACTTAGGTTTGATCCTTCAATGACGGAACATCTGTCATCGTTAAATTTCTGTTATGGCCTTAAAAAGTACTGAATGGTAAACATGATCTCTGCTTGAACAGATGTCTCTTGCTCTTGCTCTTCCTCAGTCCCTCTCATAGTCTCACTTGCAATTCTGGTGCACTAGTATCATCCCTAAGCACTGTAGGTCTGCTGTTTTTTTTTTTAAAAAAAAAGCGCTCAAGGAGCAGGATTAGTATTAAATCACGAGATTCTGGTGCACATAGAAGTCTGCATTTATCTTAATTCTCTGGTACTAACATAGAAATTAGATATACTTATTATAGATTAGCTCTTGCTGCCTTCATCACTCTATGCTTGGCTATCTGTTATTACTCATCAGCCTTGTAGCTGTAGAAACTTCCTTAAACTACTTCTATAATATATATTCAAAAGTACTTCTGATGCTTGAGACTATTTTCTAGAACAACTTCCTTGATCTGTATCTTTATTGAAAAAAAGGGATGCTCGCTCAAGTCCCTTGTGTGTTTATAATGAGTACTTAAGTATAGTTTATGCAATTTTTCTTATGATCCTGCTTATATAGCAGTAGCCAAATATAATGATTTTATTCGCAATCCTCTAAAACATACCATACAAGATCTCATGAGGTTCCTACCTTTAGAAGTTGTCATCTTTTTCATTTTTATTGTGTTAGTTATATTACCCTTGGAGTTGGAATTTGCAAAGAGGTGGTTATGGTATCTACTAGACCTTTGATTGTAAAGGCTATTATTTGACCTCTATTTCAACATTAACAAGTATTGGGAAAGCAGTGAGCATGTTACTTACTCTACAAATCCTTCAATGACCATTTATCAAGGAGTGCTTGCCTCAGTAAGAATTGTAGTTCTCTCACACACCTTGCTAAAATTTGTTATATTTGGCTTGCATTTTTTACTGTAAAATTAAGTGATGTAGCTAAACACATTTGAAATAGAGCTTTTGGGTGTTCTAATGTTATGTATATATTGTATATAGTTATATTTATTACGGAGTCCAGAAAAAATGGAGAAATTTGATTTAAAGCGAGAGATGACTCAATCTTGAAAGGTGTCTTTAATCACAGCCCCCAAGCTCACACCCCACCCTTCCAACAGCACCAAATCAGCGTTGATGCGCACAGTGCCAGCAGCAGGGCACCTCCAACAGCCACAACCCACAGCAGCATCACTTCTAACCCCACCAGAGAAAGCATTCGTGTATTCCTTGTTGTTGTTGCTGTTCTTATTGCTTTTCTATTTCATTCTTGCATTATTGATCTAAGTTGAGTGTTACATGATCATTAGCACAGACTATATATATATATATATACACACACACACACACACACACACACACACACACATATATATATATATATGTATATATATATATATATGTGTGTGTGTATATATATCTATATATACATATATATATATACATATATATATATACATATATATATATGTGTGTGTGTGTGTGTGTGTATATATATATATATATATATATAATGCTAAGCACAAAGCTTCATAAAAACAGTAACGACTTTCTTAGACCATATAGGTAGCAGACAACTATAAAATTAATGCATATAACTCTGTTGCCCTTTTGGAGTTTTGGCACAATTGTGTCTGATTTATTCTCTGTTGCCCTTTTGGAATGTTGTCATATTCATGGGAAGAGTGGTAAGATTTCTATCATCCACCTTTTTTTATCCTTGTTAAATCTTGCTGTATGCTTGGTTTACTAATCAGGCCTCAGGCTTTAATTAGTTGCTTGTATGATCCGTAGACTGTAACCTGAAATAATTACCACTTACCAGATTTCTCCAAAGAGATTAACATTATGCATCTAGGTTCTTCAATTTATGCTTTTTTCTATCAGAGTGGTCTGAGAAGTGAGAACATTTAGCTGAGGGGATAAATTAAAATGTAACCTAAAGTGTTTACGTTACTCCGTAATTATGATAAGCAATAATTATGATAAGCGATAATCCTGTTGTTCCATGCTCTTTTATTCTACATTAGTGAGAATATGTTTGCTGAATAGGTCATTATATGCTTTTAAAATCAGATATTTTCATGTATATTTATGGCTGTAAAGTTGGTATCTTTGATTTTTTATTTAGTGTTTAATTCTTGAAAATCCAAGGCCTATCTTTTCACATGAATGAGACTAATGAGGAATTTGGAAAATACTTAGAAAAGAGGGACAGCTAGAAAAATGTGTAGTAATCTTTCATTTGTGAGTATAAACATAGGTTACAGCTTACTAGAGTATTGTTTCACGAGTTGCCCATGGTTTTCGTCATGCCAATATTTTAGTGTATCTTATTGAGATAGATCGTTAAACTTTGGTAGTTAATTGAGCTTTGGCTTACTAAAATGTGCTGTTGTGTAATATCCTGCAAACCTGCAGCCATATCAGGTTGTAAATTAGAAATAAAATTATTTATGTACAATATGCTATTTTGAGTTAAATTATAAACTTTACATGTTAATTCTAATGCAGCGCACATATACTTGGAGACCTGAGTTCGATGCTAAGGCTAGGAGAGAATTTGACAAAAAAGCTGGGGACCGACTTAGGGGCACATTGAACCAAGTTTACAAAATGTCTCTCCATAAGCAAGTTAGTTTCATGACTGACACTGTTCGAGCTGAATTCATAAATAAGCGTAAGCATCCTGATTTTGTAAAACGTTCTAACCAAGCAAGAGATAATTGGTTATCTGGCCAAACATTAGAGAAGTTTGACCCTGGCCATCGCCAAGGTAGCGTATCTACTCCTCAAGTGGTTAAAAAAATGGTAAGTGTATGATTTTAGCAGCAAACTTATGATTTTTAATATTAAGATAGAAGCAAGTAGCAACTTTTTAGCCACTAATATAGATGACTATAACCGGTCTTTATTACAATTGCTCTGTATCCTATGTCCCCCTATTTTTTGTTGTTTTTCCTTAAGTGCTAACAACTTCTAATACAAGGCAAAGAAAAAGGATGGAATTTTACCAACTGCTGCTGAAGTCTATGAGAGCACTCATTCTGTTTGTGTGGGTAATGATGAAGTTGAATTGATGGGTGACAAGTCTAAAAAAGTCACTGTATGAGTATACTTCTATATTTTTCTAAGATTACAAAAAAATATATGGTAGTTAATGTTTGGAGATATTATGGATTGTTTATTTGTTTGTGTGATTGAGTTGGAGGATAAGAATGATTTGTCGGCATAAATCATATGATTAATGTGGTATGGCATAATGTGAAATGAAACAGGTTTATTTTGAAGCCATGCCCTATAGGAGGGAATTCTTCAATTTACAAAGAAGACTCTGTCGAAATTTTTACTAATAACTGCTTTCATAAATTATTTTGCTATAAGTGTTGCATCTTTTATTTTAAAAAAACAACTATAATAAAAATAGGGACTTGTTATTCATCGCCCGCAAATCTCTACATAAAGCCCACATTTTATAATTTTTTGACAAATTTGCCCTTTTTATAATTTTAACCGAAGATAAATTTTTCGCACTAAAAAAATGTGGAGCAGCACCGGATCGCCGAGGATCACCGGAGAATCGCCGTCGTCATCAGAAAACGAGGTTCGTAACGCATCGTAAGGACGAAATGGTGGCTGGCGCCTAGCCAAAAGGCCATGCCGTGGTTGTGGCGCCTAGCCAGGACGCCGCCACCGTGGTAACGGCGCCTGGTGGAGAAGCCTCGACCATGGTAGTAGCGCGTGGCCAGGACGCCGGAGCCACGGCCAGGGCGCCTGGCCAGGACGCCGCCACCATGGCGGCGGCGTCCTGACCAGGCGCCCCGGCCGTGGCTCCGGCGTCCTGACCAGGCGCCCAGGCCGTGGCTCCGGCGTCCTGGCCAGGCGCCACTAGGGGAATATATATTTTTTTTTTTTATTTTTTTTTTATTTTTTAATTTAATCCCCTTTTTTTTTTTTTGTTTTTTTTGTTTTGTTTTTGTTTTTTTTTATTTGTTTGTTTGTTTTTATTTTTGTTTGTTTTTCTTTTTTTTTTTTAATTTTTTAATTTAATCCCCTTTTTTTTTTTTTGGTTTTTTTGTTTTGTTTTTGTTTTTTTTTTTATTTGTTTGTTTGTTTTTATTTTTGCTTGTTTGTTTTGTTTTTGTTTTTTTTTATTTGTTTGTTTGTTTTTTTTTTGTTTGTTTGTTTTGTTTTTGTTTTTTTTTTTTGATTTGTTTGTTTGTTTTTTTTTTGTTTGGTTTTGTTTTGTTTTTGTTTTTTTTTTGATTTGTTTTGTTTTTTTTGTTTATTTGTTTTGATTTGTTTTTGATTTTTTTTTGCTTGTGGTGTTTTATTTTGTTTTGTTTTTTTTTTTTGGAATTTTTTTGTTTTTGTTTGCTTGTGTTGTTTTATTTCCTTTTAATTTTTTTTGGAGGGAATTAATTTTTTTTTTTTAATTAAGTTTTTTTAATGCATCTTTTATTTTGTGTTTGTTTTTGTTTTATTTTGTTTTATTTTGTTTTGTATTTGTTTATTTTTTTTTTATTATGGTTTTTTTTGTTTGTTTATTTATGTTTGATAAATTTGAAATGAAATGTGTGTTATTATTTTGTTTTTTAAATGTATTATGCGTTAAATATAAAAATGATATTTAGAAATTTAAAATTTAGAAATTGCGTTTGTGATAATTTTGTGTTAAGTGTATTAATTTAATCTTAATGTAATTATATTTATACGTTATATGTTATTGTTACAGGATTATGGTGGAGACGGAAATGATTACAGTGGGATTTTTGTACATGATGGCCTGTTCGAAGATGCTCAACAAGCGATTGATTGGGCAAAACAGGTTGCAATTAGATCAGACTTTTGTTTAGTAGTAGCAACTCATAAATCTCAACGGGATGGTAGAATGGATCGCATTTTGAGATGCGACCGTTATCGCAAAAGAGAAGAACGAGATTTCAGTAAAGCGATTCGGTTTGACTCAAAGCGGAAAGGTTGTGGGTGTCAGTTCCGAGTTAAGGTTCGACAACATCAAAGGCGTGACGGTTGGGAAGTGAAGGGTTACGGCAAATGGGGATATCACAACCATGAGCTGATAGCATACAAAGTGGGGCATCGGCAGTTAAGCGGCCTAAGTCCAGCTGCGAAACTAGTTGTAAAAGAAATGAGTGATGCTCAAGTGAAGCCCGCTAAAATATTAGCGTCTGTGTTAGAGAAATTCCCCGAAGACCAGCCAAACCGAAGACACATCTACAACGTCAGACAGAAATTGAGGTTTGAACGGTCAGAGGGAAGGAACCCTATACAGCAGCTTCTGCACCAGGCACAAGCACGTGGTTACCTTTACTGGTTTGAATCTGACGAAGACACATCGGAGGTAACTCATTTGTTCCTTGTCCATCCTGATTGTGCTGATATGATTTCGTCTTGGCCATCTGTGATTTTGATCGATTCAACGTACAAGACAAACAAGTACAAGTTCCCACTGGTTGAGATGGTTGGGATGGCTCCAACGAACCAGAACTTTCTGATTGGTTATGCAGTCATGAAGGATGAGACGGCTGCGAGTTACCGTTGGGTGTTGGAAAAGTTGAGAAACTACATCGGCCCAAATGTACAGCCATCGGCCATCGTAAGTGATTGTGAGGGAGGTCTTTTTGCCCCTATAGCGGAGCTGTTTCCGGAGTCGAGCCATTTACTGTGCACATGGCACATCAACAACTGCGTGAAAGTCAAAGCCTACAATCTTTTCAACAAGAATTTAGTAACAGCAGAGACATTGGTAAATGGTAAGTGGCGGAAGATCATGCAAGCTACCACAGAGGCAGAGTACGATCGAGCCTTGGAAAACTTCAAGGATGCGTACAAGTGGTGCCCGCCAATCGTAGACTATGTGATGCACCAGTGGGTACCTCAGAGGGAAAAGTTTGTCAAATATTGGACGAACCAAGTTCTTCATTTTGGGAACACTACGACATGCAGAGTCGAGAGCGCTCATAGAGCTTTGAAGGACTGGATTGATTCTTCCACGGCTGCTCTGGATACACTGTTCGAGAGAATAAACAAGGCTATTGATACTCAGAGGAACGGCATCAAGAACTATCTCGAGGACTCCAGACGACGACATGACATGTTGTATGGCCATTTCATATTTAAGATTCTCCACGGTCGTGTGTCACACCACTGTTTGGGGTTGATTCTGAGCGAGTATACCAGGATGAGGGAGTTGGGCGATGAAGTGGCTATTCGGTGCGGATGTGCTATATCAGTGACTCATGGATTACCTTGTGCATGCACCATTCACTGCGTAATTACGCAAGACAGGGCGTCGTTACATGTCGATCAGGTTCATCCATTCTGGCGGACGCTCGTTATCGGAGAGCATGCTGTTCCGCATACGGTTCACCGTGAACAGGAGGAGTTGGAGCAGTTTCAGTTGATGTTTGACCAAGTGTCCTCCAGTCACCCTTCGATCATTCGTAGTGCTACACACATACTTTATGACATGTTCAATACATCGTGTTTGGATACCGAAGAACCGGAAGGGGTCGAGCGACCTAGGGGTCGACAACCACGGCGGAACAAGAGTGCGTTTGAGTACATTCGCGGTCGTGGCCGTGGTCGTACATCCTCATCAAGTGGCAGCCAATCATCGTCGTCGGTGAATATGCCTGGCACCGGTTAGACATTCGACTTCAATTTCTTTTGTTGACTGTTTGATAGTTTACTGTTGACTTGTTTATTGTGTTTATTGATGTGTGTAACAGGGAGAATGGACATTGAACATTTTCCATATAAGGACAGGATCCCTAATATCATGATGCCATTCTTGGACGGGTGGAATGATGTCATTGCAGATGGTAACTGCGGATTTCGGGTTGTGGCGGATGTGTTTCAAATGGGTGAAGACAACTACGGTTTAGTGCGGCAGTTGATGTACAGTGAAATCGCATCAAACCGAGATGTGTATGGCCATGTGTACGGCGAGGACTTGGATAGGTCTCTGCAGCGTATCCGGTGGGGAGGGGGACCTTGCGATCAAAATCATTGGTTCGATGCGCCACTTGATCTCTTTGCCGTTGCAAACATCTACAAGTGTGCAGTCATGCATTTCGGCCTTGGTTTACATAGTCGAGCCTATTATCCATGTACAACGGTTCTGCCCTGGTGTTCGCGCGAGACCGTCACCAGACCGGTAAGGGACGTTGCTATTGGATTTCTTGGGCCGTCATACAGACATTTTATCCGATTAGACATGTCACCCGATTTTCCGGTCCCACATATCATACCGAAGTGGTATGAAATTCGTAGAGCAAGCGTGGAGGGTTGGGATGCTTTGTACCATGCTCGCGTGCAACAGTGGAACAATTTAATTGCCATGTAGTTTTTGTTGATGTACACCTACCTTTTACTATGAGGCCTTGTATTGTCAATACTATGTCATTTCTATGTGTTCATTTTTAAAAGATAATGTTTCATTTTAAAAACTAACAACAATAATTTCACAATATTACAAACTAAAAAGATAATATTGAATTTTAAAAACTAAGAACAATAATTTCAAATATTACAAACTAAAAAGATAATGTCTAATTTCAAATATCAGTAATCCCTCTGTGACGCCCATTGCCACTGCTCAAGGGTCCGTTCCAGATCGTCAATAACAGCTCTGCCTGATGCACTCGTCATGCAGTCCCTTTCCTCAAAAAGTCGGTGTCCCAACTGCATAATCTTGCCCATCCACTACACAAAACAAAAAACATGAAACGACGTATTATACATATATATATTAAAATAAGAGAACAACAAATAAAAGATGAGACGTACCGCATAAGAGGCAGTGGCAGGTGGTGATTAGGGGATTTTTATCCACCAATCATCGTCTGACAAGTGGACCAACCAGGTTCCGCCACGTGTCCTTCACGAAGGCCAATAGGAGCCTGCCACGTGTCAATCACAGATACGTCCTCTACGGACCAATCGAGGCACGCCACGTGTCCACCCATGCCAAATGGGAAAACCGGCCAACAAGGCCCAATCCTGTCTAGAGGCCCGGTCAGCCCTAGGTTTACCCTAAACCTAGAGAGTGGCACGCTTCTCAAGGCTATAAATACTTAATTAATCCTCATTAATTAAGCAGTCAAGCAATCAAGAGATCAAGAAATCAAGAGAAGAACAGAAACATTGCGGAACACTAATAACCGGCTAATCTCGCTAACGACGCAGATTACCAACATTAAACACTCTCACCTAGAGAGATCTTATTACTTTAATTTCCGTATTAATTACTCCTTAATCAGGTACTAACTTGACCGTTGGAGGCGGAGCTCTCAGGAGTCTCCGTTATTTTGCAGGTACAGGCGTCCGGTTCCAGTCTCGGAAT